CCAGGAACAGCATCCTGCAGTGTGGCCTGTCCCACGAGGTGGGTGTCCTGTCCCATGAGGGGTGTCCTGTCCCACGAGGGGTGTCCTGCCCCATGAGGGGTGTCCTGTCCCATGAGGGGTGTCCTGCAGTGTGTCCTGTCCCACAAGCTGGGTGTTCTGCAGTACCTCATATCCCATGAGGTGTGTTCTGTTCCATGAAGTGGTGTCGTGCCGTATGTCCTGTCTCATGGTGTCCTGTCCCACGTAGGGGGTGTCCTGCAGTGCGTCCTGTCCCACCAGGTGTGTGTCCTTCTGGGGTGGTCCTGCCCACGGCCTGAGAATGGCGACCAGCTTCGCCCGTGGGCTCGGGGCTTCCCTCGGGAGAGGGTTCTGAGGTCGGTACCGCTGTCTTTGCCTCTGGCAGGAGAAAGTGAAGTTCCTGGGTAAAAACTACCAGGAAGACGGGCCCGATGGCAATGATATACGGAAGACGAACGTGGCCCAGATCCGCGTGGCCTATCGTTACGAGACCTGGTGCTACGAGCTCAACCTCATCGCCGAGGGGCTGAAGAACGAATAGGCGGGGGCCGGACTGCGGGGCCGGGGCCGTGCCGCACTGTGAGGGGAGCCGGGGCCGTGCCGGGGCCGTACCGGACCGAGGGGCGGCGGGGCCGGGGCAGCGCCAGGGCCGTTCCGCACTGTGAGGGCGCCGGGCAGAGCAGTAAAATCCCGTCTGTGAAGCGGCTCCGAGCGGCCAGAAGAGAAGGGGGCGGGACCATCGCCTGAGTGACAGCCACGCCAGCCAATGGTGATGGCTCAATGCGCCCTGGGGTGGGGTGAGGGTGGGATCTCGAGCTGAGTGACAGCCACAGCAGCCAATGGATGGCGGCTCCGTGAGCGCCGGGAGCCTCCTGCGGGAGCGGGCCGAGACTGCAGGGACACGGGACGGGGCGCGGCGTGGGCGGGGCCTTACTATGAGTGACGGCCGCATCAACCAATGGGAAATAGTCTCGGGCCCTCCGGGGCGGGGAGAAGGCGGGACCAGTGCTTGAGTGATGGCTCCAGCAGCCAATGGGAGGTGGTTCCGTGCGCGCCGGGAGCGTCCTGCGGGAGCGGGGCAGGGAGCGGGCCGAGGCCGCGGTGAGACGGGGCGGGGGGCGGCGGGACCGGGCGGGGGCTACGCCGGGAGGGCGAGCGGGTGGCCTGGGGCGTTTGGGGCTTCCCGCCGTGGCGGCCGGGCTCAGGGCTGCGGGCCCCGAGGGGTCCCCGTGTCCCGGCTGCGGGCAGGCGGGCAGCGGCCGGTGCAGCATCTTCCCCGTGTCTGACGGGCCGGGGGAAGCAGGTGCCTGCTCAAGCTGCCCGGAGGAGAGCCAGCTCGCAAGGGGAGCCGGGGTTGGGGTGGGTTCGTCTCCCCCACTGGTCTAGATGTCTGGGGGAGGGTGCCGGGCGCCGGTGATGGGCACAGCCGGGCACACGGGAGGGCCCCCTCACCGGCCGGGAACGCTTCTCCCGGTGAGGGCGATGGAGCCTGGGCTGCCCTCGGGGATATCCAAAGCCATCCTGCTGTTGGTGTCCCTGTCTGAGCAGAGCAGGTCACACCTGCAGAGGGTCTCTCTCACCCCCACCACTCTGTGATCACTCTGTGATTCTGTACAGAGTGTTACTGCTGCTCTGCGGTGGTTTAGGTCTCACTGGATATTTGTGCATTGTTGCTCTGAGGTGTGTGGGGCTGAGGGGTTACAGAGCCCCTTGGGCTCCCCTTGCCTTCCCCAGTTCGCTGCATACAGACACCCCTCTGTTCCAGTGACTGCACATGGCCTGGCTGTGACAGAGCCCAGGCACTGGTGGAGCAATTCCTCCTGGCAGCTGGGACTGGCATCAGCCAGTGATGGAAGGAAAGCAGAAGAGAAGTTGCAGGAAAACCAGCCCGTAGAAATGTCTATTTGGGCACTGGTGGCTGGAGGATCTGACCTTGAGTCCTAGTGCAGTCCGTTGCTGCTTGGCTAATTTTTTATCTCAGTCTTCCAGTTGTAATAATAATATGGATATGACTCAGTGGGCAGCTCTGGAACACATTATCTGAATGGTGTCTGAGAGGTTTTCTGGTGCTGCCTTAGTCTGCACCCTTTGAACCTCCTGGGGCAGCTGCCTCAGCGCTGCTGAGACATTCCCGAAGGAATGAGTGGCTGGTGGTGGCCCATGTAAAGCCACACAGGCTCTGTGACTTTCCTTTGGAAACTCACCTGTGATGGTGAGATTCTGCTCCAGGAACTGCTCCAGGATAAGTCGTGTTTGATTTTTAACTCCATGCCCAGCTTGTGTCTCACTCCTGTGTGCAGCTGCAGCATTCCTGGGGCTGGCAGCCAGCCCGGGCTGTAGGGGCTGAGTCAACTGCTGTTGTCAGTATTGCTACCCTGGGCATTCAGATACTGTGAGTCAGGTCAAAAACCCACGACTTTAAAAATAGTACATTGTGGGTTCTGTCCATGTGCCCTCTGGGGTAGCAGCGTTCAGAGTTTACATGTTGGAAGTGTTCTGGTTTGGGGTTTTTTATATCTTGAGGAAAAAGTTGCTTTCAATAAGTTGAATTTCATCACTTTAGAAAAACACAGTCGGTAGAAAAGTCTTAGGACCCATGGCAGAGGCCAGATTTAACCTCCTTTTGCGGTGTAGTTGGGATTGGCAGCACATTTTCTGTGTCCAGGGGCTGTGGCCATGGATCTAATGAGGCAGAACTGCTCCTCAGCAGGAGATGCAGCAGCACGGAAAGAGTTAATACCTCGTGGTTAGAGTAGCTTTGTATCGAGATGGAAATGACTAAGCACACTGCATTCCTGAAGAGTTACTTATTTTGATATAAAATCTGCTTCTTTGGTACTGCCCATGTCTTTGAGGCATCAGCATGGCAGAGTTGTTCAGAGGAGCTTCGAGATTGTTCTGGAGAGGAGCAGAATGGGAGAAGCTGAGAGCTCTGGAAAGGATCTTTCCCCTCCAGGAATGAGCTGCCAGCTTCCCTGAGCTGCACAAGACCAGAACCTGCTTTTTATTTGGCTACTAACACAGGAGGCTTGGCGACAAGGACTCTGGGGTGGTTTAGGGCTGCACAGCTTTCACGAAAGGACTGAGATTGCCTCAGAGCTGCACGAGCTGGTCCAGGCAGTGTTTGTGTTCCCAGCAGCAGGACAAGGTAAGGTGCTGTGTCAGTGCCTCTGTTCTCTCTGTGCCTCTGCTGTGGGGTGCTCTGGGTGCTGGGGGGCTGGTGGGGGGGCCTGACCTCAGCACTAGACAGGAATTTATTCTGGACCAGCACTGGCAGCTTTCTCGCCTTGGGAATGTGGTTTCAGGAAATGGGATTGTCTCAAAGCTTTGCATGGAAAATGTGCAGTGTGCTCTCTGGCTTTCAGGGCTGGAAAAATAGTCAGGGCTACCTGTCATGTGCTGTGAACGTGCCTTATTCTTCTGCTTTGGGAGCTTCCCAACAGTGTGGATCAGAGAGGCAGGCTTTTGGCAGAAATGGGTAATGTTTTGTCTAGAAATTATGTAATTTTCCCCCAAACTGCTGCTTCCGGTGAAATAATTCAGTATTCTTAACTACACCGAGCTCCTCTAAGTCCTGATGCAACAAGGATAATAAATTTGGCTTCTCTGGAAATACTGGGAAGCACACTGGGGCCACTGAAGGAGTTTGGAAGGGGAGGTCGGGATGGAAGAAGTCACAAGTCTGGTTATTCTGTGACAGGAATGATTTGTGTAGTGCTTGATACAAGTGCTGGCTGCCTGACCCAGGTGGTCTCTGCCAGCTCTGTGTCCCTGAACTGTGTTTTAGCCTGTCCTGGACTGCATTTAAGGGTTACTTAACTTGCATCACACCACCCCAGTGTGCTCTTTCTTCACCAGAGATCAGTCTCTAGCCTTGCCTGGGCTCACGTGATGAGCTGAGATTAAATGCCTGGTTCTCGATAGCAAGCCTGGGCAGGTGAAAAGCTGCATTCCTGTCCTCCTTGGATGGATATTTTGGAAGAGACAGTCCAGGGAGCAGCACTGAGCAGGGAGAACTTTAGGCTTATGCTGTCTGTGGATCCCATTCCTGCATGTCCAAGGCCAGGCTGGATGGGGCTTGGAGCAACATGGGACAGTGGAAGGTGTCCCAGCCTGTGGAAGGACAGGAGCTTTAAGGTCCCTTCCAGTCCAACCCAACCCATTCTGGGATTCTGGAATTCCATGTGCTGGCCAAGGCTGAGCTTGTCCTCCACGTTTCTCAGCTCCTGGTTGTGCCTTACCATGGGAGCAGGGACCTGGGCAGGAGCATTAGGGCTTGACTTTGGCCATGGCTTGAGATGAGGAAGCAGAAATGGATGTGTGTGTCTGGCTGAGGAAGCTGCAGCACAGGCAGATTTTGCTGCAGCCTTCCCAAAGTGATCTATGACAGGAAGGATGTGGGGCAGGCTGGCAGCCAACAGAGCTGCCCAGCTTGGGCACAGCAAGGATGGACCAACCTGGAAAACTGTGCAGGGCTTCTCAGCCTCCTCTGTGCAGTCATTTGTCCTCATGGATGGTGTTGGATGTCAGAAGGTTCTTCCCCCAGACAGGCTCCCCAGGGAATGTGTACTGCCAGAGCTCCAGGACTGTCCTGTGCAGGGCCAGGAGTTGGACTGGATGATCCTTGTGTTTCCCTTCCAAGCATATTCCATGATTCTCTGTGGATGTTTTGCCAGGCTGCTCCCAGGGGAGCTGACAGCTGGAGCATTTGGAGGAGAAAGCAGCCAGTGCTGTTGGGAATCAGAGCAGCTGTGGGCATGGGCTGTGAGTGCTGCATGTGCTGGATTTGTTTAGTGCTGTGAATAAACCCTTGCTCCACACTGCAGGGTCCTCTGGCTCCTCTCCCTGTGCCAGTCCTGCACATCCAGCCATGCTGTGTCTGAAGGCCTGGCAGGCCCTGGAGGGTCCTGGTGTGCAGCTGGGCTGTGTTGGAGCCCTGCTGTCCCCTGGCTGTCCCCAGCAGAGCAGGGTCCTGGAGCTCTGGTGCTGCAGCAGCTCAGGGCACAGCAGAGGGAAAGCTGCTTTCCTGTCTGCTAATCAGGGCTTGCAGACATGCAAGGAGGAAGGATGGCTCTGCCCTGGCTCAGGATGTTTTGGCAGCAATGCCTATTTATAGGAGAGGGCAGGGGCCCCTCGCTGGTGTGGGAAGAGGGTCTGCAGTGGCTCCGGAAGCTCTGAGCACAGGATGGAATGCTGATGAGGGACAGACGGCTGATGATGGAGCAAATATCCCCAGTTCAGGGCTTACCCAGATTGTCCAAGTTTATCCCATTCACTGCTGAGTGGGAGAGTTACCAGCAGCTGTCTGGGATAATGGGCTGAGCAATTCCAGCCTGCAGGGACCCAGGCTGTGGAGACAGGGAGCTCTTCCCACAGCAGCAGTGCTGCTTTGGCAGAGGGGGAGAGTGCAGCAGAGCCAAGACTTGATGCCATGTGTGCCCAAACCATCCCTGAGCTGCCTGGGAGCCCAGGATGTCCTTGACCAGTGGGCTTTCTCACCAGTGCTGTCAAATAGATCTGCCAAAGCCAGTGCTTTGCTTTTAATTGCACCGCAGATGCCTCTGCCAAGCACATCAGCAGCTCCAGGGATAGCCCCGAGCCCTGGAATTTGAGGTGTGGTTCCAGCAGTGATCAGGCTGTGGGTCTGCTGTGCTGGGGGCTCTCCACACCCAGCCTGGGGAGTGGGACCCCCTTGCCAGGCAGGTTTAGGCTCCTCTGTCTCCCGGCTTGGTTTGTGCCCATCCCTGGCTCTGCCCACTGCCAGGCAGTGGTGACTCAGTGCTGGCCGGGTGTGGTGGCAGTGACAGTGGAGGACACGTGCCCAGGGTGGCAGTGGGAGCTGCCTGGCTCTGTCAGCTGGAGCCTGAGCACAGGCTTGGTGTGGCTCTGGCTCCTGGTCCCACCTGGAGCAGGTCTGGCTGCTTTCTGCAGGGATCCTCTGCTCTTCTGCACGTGTGGAATTCTGCTGTTTCCCTGCCTTTTGCAGGGAGACTTCTTGGTACCAGGGGAATGTTAGCAGAGCCAGTGTGGCCCCTGGCCTGAGCTGAGCATTTGTCTCCTGCTGCAAATGGGTGGTTGTTAAATACAGCTGGAGGGTTGGGATTTCTGAAATGGGATAATTGCCCAAAGAAAGGGAAGAACACGGCTTGTTAGAGCCTATGGGCTTCTGTCTTCTGTCCAAGATGAGTTTTCACCTGTGCTGGCATATCTGGGGATGACTTGTGAGCTACAGGTAGAGCCAAAGGGCTCCAGGGCTGAGGGGATTCCATACATGAAATGTCTGTACCGAGGCCATGCTGGACCTGCAGGTGCTGGGTCTGTACAGACACCCCAGTTCTCCCTGCTGGTTTCACCTGCATTCCTTGCTGGATTATCTGGAGGATGTGTGCTGTATCCCCTGGATTAGATGTGTGGGAAGTCTCAAAGAGCACAGCTCCTGCTTGGGTAGGAGAAGCCAGAGTGTTTCTTTGGCATTCCTTCTCTGCTGATCTAAACGTGGGGTGATTTTTCACTTCAAGATGAGGACTCACTGTTTCTTCTGCCTTTTGAAACTCCCCTGGCTGCAAGCCACAGGCTGGGCACTACTGCTCTCCAGTCTCTTGGATGGCAAATTTAGGTCAGGTATTGACAAACAGAACACCAGGCAGGTTTTCACTTGTGCTGTGGAGCAAGAGAGCACTTCTGGGAGGAGGATGCACTGCCAGAGCCGGGCTCTTCCCCAGCCACCACAGCTCTTCTCATCCTGTGTGAAGCAGCAGCTCCTCTCTGGAGGAGCAGATGTGGTTCCTTTTTGCTGCCCTGGTGCCTCGTGTCCTGCTGTTCTCTGCTGGGTGGGGAGCTCAGGTGCACAGGGATTTGTCTCTACTGCCTGAGCATCAGGAGGAGCTGCACTCCTGCAGAAGGGCTGGCTGAGTTCCTGTGTCATTAAATAATTTCCTTGAGTTTGGATGCTTGGGATCCCTCAGGGTGTTCTGTGCCTTCTGTGTTTGTTTTTTAAGCTGGTGAAGCCTCGGCTCCCTTTCGCTCGCCCTCCCAGATGTGTGCACAAACAGCCCCGGTGGGGAGCGAGCTCTGGAAGCCTGTCCTGAGCACGTGGTGGATGTGATTTGGGGAGGAATGTTCTGCAGCACTTGCCAGGGAGCAGCTGCAGTTTGGGGTGGGGAGCATGGCTGGGGTGCAGCTGATGGTTTGGGTTTTTTTTGTCCGCAGGTCGGAGCAGCCAGCCCGGACTCCACTCTGTGACACTTTGGAGTGTGGTGTCAGCTTGGATGTGTGCAGGACAAGGGAGGACGTGTCCAGGGCTGGCCATGGGCTGTGTGTGAGCACTCTGGCCCCTGCCATGCACCCCACGGGGGCTGGGGACAGCAGCTTCTCCCGCGCCACCGGGCTGACCCTGTCCCGCAGCCACTGCCGCAACATCAGGCAGAAAATCTCCCAGTGGGAGGGCAGGACACGGGGCTGCAGCAAGGACAGGCAGCAGCCCAGGGACTTCGGAGTAAAGTACGATCCCAGCTGCAATGCACTACCCAGAGTGAAGGCAGAATGCACAGAGAATGGCAGAAAGGCTGGGCCCAAGGATCCAAAGAGCCTGGGGTTGGATTTCAGGGAAGATGCACGGAGCTGCTGGCAGAGTGGGGACTGTGGTGGCCCAGCTTCCCGAGCCAAGCAGAAAGGAGAGGGGCAAACCCTGGCCCCGGGGGTGGCACTGCCCCCAGGGAACTTCTATACCTCACAAGCTCTGTGGAGCAGAGCAGATCCCCTCCTGCCTGGCAGAACCTGTCCTGCTCCCTTGGACCCGCAGAGGAAACGAGGCAGATCTGGCTCCACGGAAAGAGAACTGCAAGTCAAAGGAGTGAACACTCTCTGCAGGGCAGAGAGGAGCTTGAGAAACATTTACTCTGAGGTTGAGGGGCAAGAGGAGGAGCCAGCTCCTGATCCACCACCCAAACCTCGCAGGACTTTCCGCTACCTGGCAGAGAAGGGTGCTGGTGGTCGCAGAGATGCCAGTGCCACCAGGGAAGCTCCCCTGCAAAAGCAGTGTGGAAAGGACTTGGTGTCATCTTCCAACAGCCCTGAGAAGAAAATAGTCAGCAGGAGGATCAGAGGGAGAGCCCAGAGGTACATAATTCATCTCTCGTGTCTGAAACGTTTCCTTAAATCACTTTCTAGATGGGTTTAAGCAGCTTGCTTGGCATGATGTCCCTGTGGAGGTGCTGCTAGTGATGATGCTTCTTTTCATGGGGAAAGGATTTTCCTGGGTGAAAGTATCCTGCTTTTGCTGCTGACAATCTTGCAAAGAAGCTTCCAGGTCCCAAGCAGAAGTCAGCCCACACCTTAGAAGAGAGTGGAGTGACAAAATGCTGGGCCCTGGGAGAGAGCTGCCTGCTCCCTGCCTGCTCCCTGCCTGCTCCCTGCCTGCTCTCTGCCTGCTCCCTGCCTGCTCCCTGCCTGCTCCCTGCCTGCTCCCCGCCTGCTCTTGCCCTCATTTGCAATTTGGGGATGGCAGAGTAGCTTTCTCTTGGGACACTGTGGCTGCTGAGTGTTTGGCTTTTCTGGGAGCGAAATATTCTCTTGTTGCTTAAGGCTGGAGGCTGTGAGTACTGCTCTTGCAGTCGGTTTGGCTGGTTTGCCCTCTTTCCCATACCCTTCTGAGGTGGCTTGATGCAAATCCTGCTCACAGGTGAGCTGCCTGTGCTGGAGGTGTGCACAGTACCAGCAGAGATGTGGCTTGAGGTTCTGAAACCTTTCACTCTGGCAAAGTGTGCAGCAGCAGCCCAGATTTTATGATGATGGTGGGCTAAATCCCTGCCAGCTCCTCTGTGACCTCAGTGCTCTAATTTCAAAATAGTGGCTAAGGGATGGAAATGCCAGCCCACAAAGGCATGAACACCCTGAGCACGAGCAGGAGAAGCCAGTAGGAAGCAGTGCCCTGGTCTGAGCTGCTGCAAGTCTGCTAAACATGGTTTGGGTTCTTGCCTCTGACAGGATGGGTCTGGCCATGCCTGCTTGGAGTGTGCTTGGCCATGGGGCCTCCAGCTCCCTTCCTTACTTAACAAAACTCCCAGAGTAAGTGAACAGGACTCACTTGGTGTGCTGGCTTTGGCTGGGATTATTTTCTTCTTGGCATCTTGTGTGATGCTGTGTTTTGGGGTTGTGATGAAAATATTGGTAACACAGCAGTGTGTGAGGTGTGCTCACACAGAGCTGGGAGGGGACACAGCGGGGACAGCTGACCCCAGCTGACCCCAGGGATGTTCCAGCCCCTGTGGTGTTCTGCTCAGCAATAAAAATTGGGGAAGAAGCAGGAAGGGAGGAACAATTGGAGTTTGTGTTCCCAAGTCACCATTACACATGACAGAGCCCCTGGACATGGCTGAACACCTGCCTGCCGAGGGAGATGGGAAATGAATCCCTTGTTTTGCTTTCTTTGCTTGTGCAGCTTTTGCTTTACCTTCCAAACTGTCTTCATCTCAACCCATGCACGTGTTTTGTTTCTTTTACCCTGATTCCTTCCCCCATCCCATGGGTGGGAGCGAGGGGCTGAGCTGCTGCCTGGGGTTAGACCTCAACCCTGGGAAATGCGAGTCTGGAGTGGAGCATCCATGTGCTGGATGGTCCCAAGGAGGGCCACGCTGTGTGTGGACTGCAGACAGCAACTCAAGCAGGTGCCTTTAGAAGAAGTTACACCGGTTTTCCTCTAGGAAATCTTTTGAGTTTGAGGACATCCAGGGCTTCCGCAAGCGGCCGGCGGCCAGCAGCTCCCACAGACCTCGGGAGGAGACAAATGGCACTGCAGGATCCAGGCTGGCCCACACTCAGTCTGAAGACAACATCTACGAGGACATTATCTGTATGTGCCTCTGCTTCTGGGGCTGCTGTTGAGGGTGGCAGTCGTGCTGGGGAGGGAGGAGTCAGGGTCAGGATGCATTGAGGCTCTTTCCAGCTCTGGGATTTTTAAGGTCTTCCCCATCTGGGGTTCTCTGTTGGTGTTGGTGACATGTGCACATGAACAGCCTGGTTTCAGATGTCATGGGAGGTCACTGGAGTTGGCCTGTGCTACACTGATTTCTTTATTAGCTCTTGGAATGCTTTGCTTGAGCGTTGCACAGAGATCAGTGTGAGCACTGCCAAAATGAGCTGCTTTGCAATAGAGCTGCTTGCTGTGCAGGGGAAAAAGTGTTTTGCTCTGCTGAGTCCATGGACAGTTTGCCAAGATGATGGCAGTGGGTTAGAAGGATGTGGTGGGAACCTCATCCAACTTTAAAGAGGTCTCTCAGACCCAGTTAAAGGCAGACAGCTGCACGCTCTCCCCACTGATAGCCCTGGCAAAAATCACAGGGCTTTATCTCGTTTCATAATTCCCCTATCCAATGCTTTTTCCAGGTCCTACAAAAGAAAATCCATATGAAGATATCAGGCCCTTGCCCCTGTGGAAGGTCCCATCTGTCTGGAAGCTGCCCCCTCCCCGGAGCATCAGCAGGGCTCCCAAGGTAGGGTGGGGGGATTAAAGGGTCAGAATCATTCTCACAAAGGCCCTTGTTTGTGCTCACCCCCAGCCTCACATTCCACACTGCAAGTCACTGGTTTTCCTTATTGTTTTATTGGTTGTTATTAATGTAAATAATGTATATAATGTAAATCATGGATATCCGTGGGAGCTGATTAAGCTGCTAAGGAACAAAAGAGTAGGAACAAGAGAGATTTGGTGAGGTGCTTGAGGGGGGAGGTGGGATGGAGAGTTTAGTAGAGCAAATTTTCCAGCTGTAATCTGACTCCTCTGCCTTCAACCTTGGACCAAACCTTGATCTCATGCTTGACTCTCTCTTCTCCTTCTGTTTTCCAGCCTCCCCCAAAACCTCTCTTCCTCAGCCGCAAGAGCCTGGAGCTGAAGCCCTCCCAGACAAGTTTCCAAGGGAAGATGGGCAAGGAGACCTCCCTGCCTGTCACTCTGTCTGAGTGGAAGCTCTTCCGAGCAGTGGAGGCTGCCAGCAGGAGGAAGAACCTGCCCTGGGTGAGATTCAAGTGTGAAACTTCACTTCTTGCCTGGCTTTTCAAGCTCTTGCTATTTGCAAGTGCTTTGTAAGTGGCCACAGAGCTGTGGGCCAGGCAGGTGATTGCTGCTTGGCACTGCTGCTCCAGCCATTCCCTCTCCCAGTGGTGTTTGGGGACCTGAGTGCCAGTTCTAGCTGGGACAGTGGTGTTTCTGTTGGCCAAGAGTCGGCAGACAAAGTGCTCAGTGTTGTCCTGGAGGTCATGGCTGTGTGTGAACACAAGCCCTTCCTCGTGCTTTGTCACCTAAGCCCTGTTCCCAGTGTTTCCATGGAATGGGGTGGTGCTGCGTTTGTGCTCTTGGAGATTTTTCTTGCTCCTGTGATCCAGGAGCAGCTCTGGAACGCTGTGGGGATGTGTCCCCTGCTCCCAGTGACTTCCCAGACTGATCCTGGTGTTCCACTGAGCTGTGGGATGGTTGTGGGGCCCTTGGCTACTTGGAATGTTGGCTGGAGTTGTGGACTGGCATCAGGAGCAGCTGGTTCATAGTTTAAAGGTGCAGGGGAGCTCTCAGGGATAAGAACATTTCACAAAGCCTTCATACAGCTGTCCCTCCTGGCCTGTCCCTCCTGCCTGGCTGCAGAGACAATCATGCTGCTGAGGCCAGAGGGGTGAGGAAGGCTTTTAATCCACCCTCACACAGAGGACTGTTCTGACCCTCCTTTGGTGCCTTGGGAAAGTTTCTAGATCCTTGTGTTGGTTACCAGCTCACATCCCTCAGTGATAAAAGACACCACAGCTGCAGCTGCCCACTTTGTGCATGGGACTCAAATTCCAGTTGTGGTAGTGGCAAGGACTTATTTTTGCAGTGGTAAAATCATTTCACTTCAGCAGATCTTTATTTCATCTGAAAATCACGTGTATTTGCTCAGATTGCACAAGAATGTGAGGTAGAGTTGGACAACTGCAAAGGACTTTTCAAACCTTTAAAGTGCTTTGGAGTATCAAGTAACTTCTGTCTGTGTTTTTAAACAAACCTTAGGTCTGGAAAATCAGAAAGGACATGGCAAGATTATAAAAATGCTGTGATGGAGAGTATCTCTCATTTGGAGAGGGAAAAGAAAATGTTCTCCAGAAGCAAACCTATTCCAAAAATCTGGTAACAATTTACATGCAGGAAGAGCACTTTACTCTCTTTGCTCATGAGGAACTGAGCCAAGATTGCTCGAGAGGTTGAGGAAAGGACTGGGGTCTAAACAGACAAAACCTTTTGCCTAGGAAACACATGGCTGCCTTAAACACACCCAGGGTGGTGACTCAGCTGCACACAAATCAGGACAGAAATGAGGATCTTCTAGGTAAGGCTGGGTAAAAAGGGAAAGAAGGCAGATTTGGCAGGAGGAGCACTGCTCTCTGCAGTGGGCTGTTTGTTCCCTGCAGCCTCCTCGTGCTGGGAGGGCTTGGCTGAGGCAGAAAATGGGGAGAAATTAGTTAGAAAATGAGAGCCTAAGCCTGGTTTACTGCTCTGGGGATTAAATGCTTGAGCTGAACAAACAGGTTCTCTTTAATATATTTCTTTTTATGCTGTATTTGTGATGACAAATGGCTGGGCCCCACCCTCCTGTGTTCAGTTTAATGAATTCTTGAGGCAGGAATGAACTTGACCTGCTCCCTGCATTTAGGGTAAATCCCTCTTCACATGAAGCAAAGGCTGCCTTTGATGTGGGGAGCCAGGAGCCCCTGGGGCGCTGGCAGATGAGGGGAAAGCACAGAGCAGGCTGTGACAGGGACACAGAAAGTGTCAGGACTTTGCCTTTAAGGCTGTTGTGACCAGTGGAAGGAAGATTACCAGCACCAACGTAGAGTGTCAAAATGCTGACCCTTCTTTCATGGCTTAGTCTGCACTGGGCTGTGCTTTTTCCCAACTTTTTCTCCAGTGGACCAGGTGTGTGGTCCTGCAGCACAGACCCAGTGTTCTGTCCCACTGTCTTTGTCTTCATTTGTGCAAAATCACAGAGTGGTTTGAGTGGAAAGGCCCTTAAATTCCACCTCATTCCACCCCCTGCCATGGGCAGGGATAGCTTCCACTGGAGCAGGTTACTCAGAGTGCATCATCCTTCCATTCCAGCAAACACCTGGGACAGGGCCTGTGCTTGGAGTAGCCTCACTTGAGCTTTTGAAGACTTGAGCTGACATCCAGCTAGAGCAGCAAACCCAAAAACCAACCCAAAAACCAAGCCCCAAGCTACAGTGAGAGAGCTCTGCTTTTTCTGGGCTTGGAAGGTGCTGGGGAGCATGTTCTGAGTCCTCTGTGCTGAAGGGTTTGTAAGATGTTCTTGCAAGTGCCTTTGCATAGAAAATGGAGATCTGATGCCAAACAGTTTGTCACTTCTATTTGGGAAGGCAAGTGTGACAATTTCCAGAATGCTTGTAGAGTCTGGTGTCAGCTTTGAGCTGTGCTGACAGGGATCCCTCTCTTGCAGCAGAAATCTGTGCTCATTCTTTATCCAGTGAGCTGGGCTAGAGGGACTCCAGCCTCTGAGCCAGGGTGCCTGCAGGATTTGGGCAGCTTTCCCCAAGTCCTGGGTGGTGGCTGTTGAGCTGCCCTCCTGTTGGCACCTGGACCCTTCTCTGGACCCCCACATTAACCTCTGCTTCTGCTTTGGGTTTCAGCTGGTACTAAAAATACAGGAGATCTTTGATTCCAAGCGTGGAAAGAAGAAGGTGAAGCTGCTCAGTCCTGCTGCGAGAGAAGCAGCTCCAGTGAAAGGTATTGGGGTCTCCAACACCACTGTCTGTGCTCTGAACACCTTGAGTGGCACAATTCCTCTGCCCCCTGGCCTGGCACCACCACCTCATGCTGACACAACAGTGCAAACCCCAGACTTGTGGCTGCAATTGAGCTTTCAGCTCAAGGAATACTTGTCTAATCCAAATTTAACACTGTCACAAAGGGAGCATTCTGAGCCTGGAGAGCTGGGCTGCTTGTTAAAAGTGCTTCTTCAAAAAAAAGCAGATTAAAGCAAAAACTCCTCAGAAAACCACTTGGCATGAGAACCATCTCTGCCTACTGCACTCATCATCTGTGTAGCCATAGTGGGGTCTTTATTTACAGTTATTCTGTTAAGTTTTAGAGCAGCCTCAACCAGCCAGCTGGTTTGTGTTCTTTGCCAGCTGACCTGCAGGTCATTCCCTGCCAGGTCATATCACTGGCTTGATATCAGCTCTGCTGTTTGAAATTTGCTGGTGTAACACATTTCCCAGCTGCCCTTGGCTGATGCTTTGGGCAGGATTGGTGGGCAGCCCTGAGGGATGTTGATGTGATGAGTCTCAGGTTCTCTCTCTTTCCCAACTTTGGGTGTTGCCCATCTTCTTTCTGCGTGGCTAATAAGTGAAAACTATTTGTGTGTTTCAGGTGAAACCAGCGGGAATGAAAGCGATACGGAAAATCAGCCCAAAAGTGAGTGAATCACAGGGGCTGGTCCTGTCCCACAGCACTGCACCCTTGGCTGGGCCCTGGTGGGATGAGCTGACGTGTGGGGATCTGCTGAGTCAGGGACAGGAGCCTCTCAGAGGCCACATGGCCAAGTCTGGGAGCTGCTGCTGTGACAAACCAGCCTCTATTTCTGCCACCTCCCCTGAGCCCTTGAGGTTTAATGGTATTAATCTGCCAGTCACCAGAAGCAGAGTCTTTTTTGGGTTGGTAACTTGTGGGAGGTTGTTGCTGATCACCTTTGCTGCTGCTGCTTGAGATTATTTCACTCCTGATTCCTTCCCTTGGTTCTGTTTTATGTAATGCTGTGAAAGGTCCTTTCCTCTGGGGAGAATTCACCTGGGTATTTGTCTGGTTCCAGTGTCCTGAGCTGGATCATAGACCCAAACTCCAGACCTGAAACACCTACTTGGTTTTAGCTGATTTTAGCTTCCATGTGAAGACATGAAACAGAAGGATGTGGCACAGGGTGCCCAGAGCAGCTGTGGCTGCCCCTGGATCCCTGGAAGTGTCCAAGGCCAGGCTGGACAGGGCTGGGAGCAGCCTGGGACAGTGGAAAGTGTCCCTGTCCTTGGCAGGAGGTGACAGTGAATGAGCTTTAAGGTCCCTTCAACCCAAATCATTCAGGGGTTCTATGAATTATTTTAGGTGTTTTGTTTACTTGGAGGAAAACGTTCAAAAGGCTTTAACTTGGAATGGAAAGTGAAGTTCCATTTATGTGAAGGAGAGTGGTGGAGAGTGAACAATCTCAGCAGAATTAGGGTGATTGAGTCAGTGCCTGATGTTTGAAAGTGTCCAGAATGTGTCACGGTGCCTGGGCACAGGAATTCCTGACGTCAGAGGGCTGTGCCTGTGCTTGTGAGCCTGTGCTGCCTGTCAGGACAGCCCAGCCCGGGGGTGTCCCGGCCAGGGAGCTGCCTCTGCCCCTCCTGAGTGCCCTCAGTGGTGTTTGGAGTGGCTCCCTGAGTCCTGGCAGCTCCTGAGTTGGTGCAGCTGGGCTTCACTCCCTGCTGCCCCATTGTGTCACTCTGTGTGAGAACATCAGGACAGCAGGAGGAATTTCAGTATCTGTCAGGAGGGATTTGCAGAGCTGCTGCCAGGTCAGTGCTCCCTGTCTGAATCACAGAATCCTGGAATTGTTGAAGTTGGGAAAGACCTCTAAGGTCATCAAGTCCAATCATCGACCCAGCACCACCACCACGCTCACCCCTAAACCACATCCTCAAGTGCCACGTCCACACATTTTTTAAACGCCTCGAGGGATGGTGACTCCACCACTGCCCTGGGCAGCCTGTTCCAGTGCTTAACAAGCATTCCAGTGGAGAAATTGTCCCTAATATCCCATCTAAACCTCCTCCAGTGGAATCTGAGGTTATTTCCTCTCCTCTTGTCACTTGTTCCCTGGGGAAGAGCAGCTCTGTGCCTGAGGAGCTGACACAGACACCCCATGTCCCATGGAGAGCATTTGGATGTTGAGCAAACCCACCCCTCCCTTTTCCCCCTCTGCTGGCAATGCTGAGTGCTCTTCTGTGCCCTGTAGGAGCGTGGCAGTGCCAGCCACAGGCTGGTTTGGGATTTATTCCTGTCCCCAGGTCACCACAGGTGCCCGAGGCACTCGGCCTCCAAGAGGAACCCACACTACCAGACCTTGGAGAGGGATCTCATCGAGCTCCAGGAGCAGCGGCTGTTCGAGCTCTTCGTGGTGGTGTCCCTGCACAAGAAGGCATCTGAGGTCACCTACACACCCCACATCATCCAGCAGTTCCCCAGCAAGGTAGGAGCTGCATGGAAACCTGCCCAGGGAACTGCTCAGCTCTGTGTGTCCCCTCCTAAACTACACTGGCCAGCGTCTGGGCTGGGAATGTGAAGCACCTTGCTCTGTTACACACCTGATGTGTAGTGTCAGGAGGTTGTTGAATATGTGTCTTGATAATGAGTTTATTGTCTTTTTTGAGCTAGGAAAGCTCCTCCTTAATTCAAATTTCCTGAAGCCATGAGGTATTTGATAGCAACTGAAGGAGAGGAAGGAGTGCAGAGCTCTGTCCCAAAGCTGGCAGGAACCTCATCCTGGCAGTCTGTCCTTTATAAACCAGCAGTGAAGCACTGATAGTGCACAGGAACTGGAATCTCAGAGCTTTTATGCTTATTTATACTGTTTTGGAAAAGAATAATAATAAAATGACAAAGCTGTTTGCACACACCCCCAAAACCAGGAGGGCTGTTTTAGCTGAAGTGCTGTAGTTAAACCAAGCCCTTTGAAATAAGCTGCTCAGCCCAAATGGGTGACAAAACCAGTGTGTGACTGAATTATAGCTCAGTGTCCTAAGCTGGGAAGCTGAGATGGAGCCTTGGTGTTTCTGGGGTACCAGATTGAGATGAATATTCAGTTGTCACTTCTGGGCTCATACCTGCTGCCTTCCCCTGGAAACAGAACAGAGCCAGGAATGCTGGCTGTGCCATCAGGAGAAAGCCAGATTATTGAGGAATCTGCATGTCATCCACACAGAGATGTTAGATCTACTCAGGGAGGTTATGTGTGACCCCAGCAGGTCCCACAGTGTCCCAGTTCCTGCTGCCTAAAGGATTTGTGTGCCAATAATTCCAGTGTCTCAAGTGTGTAAATGCCTTGGGTTCACAAGATGAATAAGGAATTACAGCCAGAAAGAGTGCACAGTGTTAATTTAGTGGGTAAAACTGAACACACCCAAATAATATCTGCTAAAAGTGCAAACTTTAGGGTGATGGGAGGAAGAAAGGAATGCAGCAGATTTGGCTTTTCCCCGGTGCAGCCTCTCAGACTGTCTTTGGGAAGGGCACTGCAGGGTTCCCCTCCTGGTCTGTACTGGCTTTTATAAAAGCACTGACACTACAAATTATTTTCTCAGTATTTATTTATGCTCTGCTCAGATGAAAGTGTTTTGGTGAGTGACTTTTGATGGGACAGTATGTCAGATTGGGTGTCTCCCTTCTAATATTAGCTTTGCTTCCGAGTAATCTGCTGTCACCCTCTGCTTTGGGCAGTGTGCCCAAGGACATCTGAGCTTTTCTACAACTGTTACTCTGTGAAAATGCTGTTCTGTTTTCCTAACACCTTGTGCTGTCACAGCTTGGGACACTGGAATAGCCTGGGTGTGCTTAGTGCCTAAAATCAACTTTATGCAATAAACTTTTCACTTCTCAGGAGCATTTCCTACTTAAATGTGTTAAATTTCCTTACATTTCTTATCGAGCCTCTTATCTGAACACCTTTCTTTTGCCCTTTCTGGGCAGTTTTGAGCATGGAAAGTGTCCTGGTGTCCTTGAGGGATTTGATTTGAACCCACATGTGGTGGAACATGTGGTTCAGGGACAGTTTTTGCACTTCAGTTATGAGTGATCTGCACATCAAAAGCTGAACACTTTCCTGTTAATATTACTGTTTTCAAATCTCCCAGGGGCAGAACCAAGACAGGCTGCCCCGGACATCATTTGGGGAGTCATTTCTACATTCATTTTCCAATAAACTTAGCCATGCTTGCAGATCCTTCCTCCGTCCTTACCAAGTTGAGTCATTTTACAAAGGTCCAATCAGCAGGAAAAATGCAAGAGGGAACTGGGAATGTGCTAATAGTCAGAACATGTTCTCCTGTACCTGTGCATTAGTGATGGATCAGCCTTTGGAAGTGTCAGGAAGATGCTTCCTGTATTTTAAATGCTGCACCAACTTCAGTGACTTCAAATTCATTTGTTACCCCCTCCAGCCTGAACATCCCTTCAGACCATCAAAGGATACTGAAGAGAGGCTAAAGGTGATTCCCAAATTCTGCTTTCCAGATCCCAAAGACTGGTTCCCTTCATCAGACCTTAAAAGGTAAAGACTTGGTTTTGAATGCTTGTGACTGAGACAGGCAATGCTGAAAGCTTTGGAGTGTCCCAGAGGAGCTGCAGCCTGAGCAGGGGAAAAGGGGAAAGGATCCAGGAAATCCCCGTGGTGGGAGGGACGATGAGGTGTGGAGCTGGGCTAGAGGGCTGCTGCTGCCTTTCCTGTGAGGAGGAAGAATTTGTCCAAAGCTCCTGGGGCTGGAAGTGCTTCTTCTGCTCCTTGGCTGAATGGGGAAGCAGCTGGGAAGGAGGAGAAGTAGAAAAGCTCAGTGAGAGCAGCTGGGAAAGGGGGAGAGATGGAAAAGCTCATGAGGTGCAAGTTTTTACCCTGAACAGATCCCAAAGTCCTTGTAATCATGTTTTAGTCTTTGTCAGCGTGACCAGAAGGAGTTTGTGTGCTTTGTCAGTCTGTGCCCTGAGCTGTGTGGTGAATTTAACCCTGACTCTGCTTTGGCTCCCCAGTGAAACCTTTTCCTTTGTGCTGACGGGGGAGGACGGCAGCCGCTGGTTCGGGTACTGCAGGAAGCTCCTGGTGAGCATCTCTGGGAGGGCTGGGGGTTCAGGGAGCACTGTCTGGGCACTGCCAGGATGTCACTTGCCCACATGGGTTCCCCATCCTGTGGATTACCCAGCTGTGGTGCTGCCAACCCTTGGGATGCAGAGGGAAGGGTCATGATGGTGCCCAGAAATGGTGAAATGGGCTCTGGGCATGAACCAGCTCCTGGAACTGAGTGTTCCTTGAGAACCTTCATAGTCATGAGTGTAGGGGGGCTGCAGCAGAAGGAATTCTGCAGAGCAGCTGCAGTGTGGGTGCTGGGTTGTTCCTTGCCCCCCTGTTCTCAGCAGAGCTGTTGCTGTTGCCTTTCAGCCAGAAGGGAAAGGGAAGCGCCTGCCCGAGGTTTACTGCATCGTGAGCCGCCTGGGCTGCTTCAACCTCTTCTCCAAGGTGAGCTGGCACAGCGTGTCCTGAGCCCTGCAGGCTCCCCGGGGTAACTGGATGCTTCTGTCAGCTTAGTGATTGCAGCTCATCCCAGGGGAGTGGTGCTTCCTCTCTGTCTGTGCTTTGAGCGGGGAAATAAAACACTGGTGCTGAGCCTTGTCAGCCAGTGCACAAATCCTTCAGCAATTACTGCCAGGAAGAGCCTCCTAACACCTGGTGTTACTGAGGGTGCCTCTTCATCCTCTTCCTCTGTGACTTGGAAATGGAAAATCAGTTTGGGATGGGGTTGGATATCCCCTGGTTTTTATAGCACCATGAAAAGGGGAGATAAAGAGGTGAATGCTGCAGATAAAGGGCAGTTATTGCAGAAAAGTACAGGGACAGGCTCTGATGAAAGATGGTTCTGATTGTTGGAGCTCAGAGTTTCTAGAACAGCGTTTCATGGAGGTTTCTTGGCGAGGGGGATGTGTGCTGCTCCTCTTAACTCCTCTGAATAATGAGAATTTGATTGCTTCATACAAAGCATTTCCTTCCAGTAGCAGGAGGCTGGAGAGTTGTGCTCACAGGAAGCTGTTCCTGTTTGATTGTTCAGACATTTGAGATGAATTTCACAGGGGTCCCAAGCGAGGTGGGAGAGGGCTGTGGGTCTGTGCTGGAGCCTTCTCTGTGGGAATGCTCTGATGGATTGTCCCCTCTGGTCAGCAGCAGCCGGGAAGAGGAGGTGATGCCCAGATGTGACCCCTTCTGTCCCCTCCTCTCAGAGCTGCTCACTGGGATGCTCTGCCACGGGCAGCCAGGACAGGGCTCACAGGGACCTGGTTCTTTTACATCCACGGAGAGAAAAGCTGGAAAAGCAGGAGCTTCCAGTGCTCCCAGTGCCATCACGGGCACACACTGGTGTCCAGGGCCCCTCCAGCCCTCTGTCCAGGCATTACCTGGGCCTGGCTTTTCTCCTTTACACAGGAAAATGCTCTGCTCCAGGGAGCCTGTGACTGCCATCACAAGAGCTCCCAAACTGCTGAAGCTCCAGGAGCTGGAATTGCCTCCCCGGGGCCTTTCCCATCCTGTTTCTCTATGGCCAGGGAGAGCTGTTTGTCCCTGAGACCCTGCGGGGAGTGTCACACCTCGATGGACAGCTCTGGGTCCTGGCTGTGCCCTGCTCTGATCCCGTGTGTTTCCCTGCAGATCCTGGATGAGGTGGAGAAGAGGAGGGAGATGTCCCCAGCCCTGGTGCACCCGTTCATGCGCAGCGTGATGGAGGCTCCGTTCCCTGCCCCAGGACGCACCATCACCGTCAGGAGCTTCCTGCCAGGAGCAGGAGATGAGGTGACAGAGCTCAGGCTGAGCTGCCTGCTCCCTCTCTGGGCTCTCTGGGGCACACAGGCTCTTTATAAACTGCACAGTGGTGCCTGGAAATGATTACTCTAAAGAAAACGTGCTGAAGTTGGAAGGGAGGCTGTCCCAGAAACCTCTTTGCTGTGGAATCATCTGCTGTGGAAGTGATTCCCTATTTCTTAATGAAGAGCTTCTGGGGCACTCCTCTGTGCTGCCCCATGCCAATTGTCATAGGATTCTATGTAGGATCATGAATTCAGAGAATATCCTGAGCTGGAAGGGACCCCCAAGGATCATCCAGTCCAACCTCTGGCCCTGCACAGGGCACCCTAAAATCCCACCCTGGGCATTCCTGGGGCAGTGTCCAAACTCTCCTGGAGCTCTGGCAGCCTCAGGGCTGTGCCCATTCCCTGGGGAGCCTGGGCAGTGCCCAGCACCCTCTGGGGAAGGAACCTTTCCCAAAATCCAACCTAAACTCCCCTGACCCAGCTCCAGCCCTTCCCTGGGTCCTGCTCCTCAGGAGGAGCTGCAGCCTGAGGTGAGCTGTGACCTCAGGCCCCTGTGCTGCAGGCTGAGGGTTCCTGCTTGGCGGCTCCCCCAGCTCTCCCTGTGTCCGTGTCCCTCAGGTGATGGAGCTGTGCCGCCCCTTGGACTCCAGGCTGGAGCACGTTGACTTTGAGTGCCTCTTGCAGTGCCTGAGTGTCTCCCACACCATCCGGGTCTTTGCCTCTCTCCTGCTGGAAAGGAGAGTCATCTTCGTGGCTGACAACTTGAGGTAAGAGATGAGTCTGAGCAGTTCTTTCTGAGGGATGCTGTCACTGGATGTTGTTGTTTCTTCTCTGTTTGGACTTGTCCCGCGTCCAAGCTTGTCTGGTTTTGCAATTTGAAAACCTTCTGCACTCTCCACACAGCATGTGCATGCCTAGAATTTGGAGTATGCTGTTTACACAAGAGGAGATAAGGGAGTGTTTCGTTTTTGCCTCTTTAGCCTGGGTGGATGGTGGTTTGAGCTGCCCAGAGCTCAGTTTAGAAGTGGGTGCCTGGGGCCTCTGCTGATGCACAGGCTGTGCACGAGTGACACCTGCCCTGAGCATTTCCAGCCTGTCCTGAAGGAGACACTGACCACCCTGCCTGTGCTTCTCTCCAGCACTCTGTCTAAATGTGGGCACGCTGCAGTGGCAACACTTTACCCCTTCACCTGGCAGCACACCTACATCCCTGTCCTGCCAGCTTCCATGATCGACATCGTGTGCTCTCCCACCCCATTCCTCATTGGCATCCTCTCCTGCTCCCTGCCACAGCTCCAGGACCTGCCCATAGAAGAGGTGAGGATGTGTGAGACACAGACAGTGTCAGTGGGATGAGGTTGACCTCTCTGCAATAATCTCTGGATTCTGTCTGACTTTAAACTCTCAAACTTCTCCGAGTCACTTGGTGAATTTGTCAGACAAATGTCAGGATGTTCCAGTGTTATCAAAAATAAGTAATCTTCACTGTTCTCAGGGACAGGCTGCACTTAGGCAAAACTTGTGTTTTGTGTGTGACAGCCCTTTTTTAAAATCATCCCACATTTAAAAAACAAGTTAAATCCTGGTGTTTTTCTATAGAGCAACATACCTGGTTATTAGTCAGTGTGTTTTCTATGTCTCCCCAGGTTCTGATTGTTGATCTTTGTGCTGACAAGTTCTTGCAAGAGGTGAGTGAAATAACAGTAGCAGTAACTCATGGGTTTATGCCAGGAAAAGGTGTCGATGAAAGAAAATAATGAGAAGAAATCAGGAGAAGCTGGTGTTCTATGGAGACTCCAATGGCTGAAGAAATACCTTGTAACCCTTTTGAACTGACAGAGAAGGGAACAAATCCTTGTTGCAAGGTTGAGGTTGCCTGAGGTGAAGAGCTCTGCTTGTCTGAGCTGACTTTAAAAGCTTGGTTTCTTATGTGAAGGGGATCCCTAAGATTCTCTGCTGCTTTTTGTCTGTCTCTCCCTGTTCTGTACAGCACTTTCTCCTCTCTCATCCAGCTGGGAGGTGTTTGTTGGTTTGGGTTGTTTTTCCCAGGAGTGACAGTGTAGGGAACAAATTATCATAGTTCTCTTGGGGTTCTCTGCTGAACTTCCCCCAAAAGTGCTTCTGCACCTCCAGACAAGTAGCTATAAAAATACTGGGGATTTTTTTACTAGTTCAGGATATTTGCTTCTCCTTTTCCCTGTCTCACTGTTCTATTTTGCATTGCAGCCTGCAATACTGGACAAAGGTATTAAAGGATTGGGGCATTTTTTAAACCATATTATTGAGACCTGTTGTATTTTCTCAACAGGCTTTTATTGTTTTTGTGTGTTTTACTGGTGAAATAAGCCTGAGTCTGTGTGATGGCCAGCTGTGTGTGTGACTCTAATAAAATGTACTTGGGGCATGCTGAGCAAATGTGTTTAATTTCTGTGGCTGCAAGATAAATATACTATATCCCTTAAGATATATTCCAGAATAATTCCCCTCTAACTGCTTTAGGCATGTTATGAATATTTCTAATTTACCCCCTGGTTCTGCTGATGGGAATAACACAGAAGTCCTTCCTTGGCCATTTCTGTCTGTAGGTATCAGATGAGGACGAGATCCTGCCCCATAAACTCCAGGCTGCACTTGAACAAATCCTGGAAGAACGGAGTGAAATCCTGTCACACGGGCAGAGTGACACACAAGGTACTTTCTGTGGAAAAGTTTCTATGGAAAAGTGTTTTCCCATTAACAGATCTCTACCATGGAATTGATAAAAATGAACAAATTTAAATAAAAGCTAAGAAGTGACATTTTAGCTGTTTTTCTGTGATCTTGCTGAGAACATCTTGTGAATGTGTGAGAAGTTTGGTGTGCTGACACTTCCTCCTTTCACAATTAGTGTGTGCAGAACTGTAGTTTCCTTTGGGCCAACAGCATCAGATCAGCTTTGAATTTTATTATATTTTTCTAAGTGGCAGAGACAATGGTTTTCTCAGAGAATGAAGCAAATTTCTGTATTTTAGAGGGTAATCTGGCTGATCATTTTCAAAGTTGAACTGCTTTACACATGATTCATCAGATAAGGAAGTGTAAAAAGCTCTGAGTGGCTTGAGAGAACGGCACCAGCAAATTATATAATTCCATAAAAACAAAGTTTGTTTTCCAGAGAGTTTGTCTTCTGTAGTTTGCCTAATTGTTGAAGAGAATTAAACTTAACCTGTTGTGAACTGACAGCTCATTACACACCAGAGAAAATGAAATTCTGGGTGTTTTAAATTGTGGAAAAGCTTTAGAACCGAACCTGTCCCAGGTGCAGCAGAAAGTTGCCATTGGGAAATTGAATATTGGAGCTGAGCCTTCTTTGATGTCAATCCCTAATCTGAGACAGCCAGCACAAAAAGTGACTGAGCTCTCTGAAAACGCCACTCCTTGAGGAGAGCAATGACCAAAGTGACACCTCCCCACAGGTGACACGAGCCTGAACTCCCTGGTTTCGGAGGCTTTTGTGCAGTTCTTCGTGGAGATCGTGGGGCATTACTCTCTGCACATGAGCGTGACCGAGAGGGGCGAGCGCGTGTTCCAGCGGGAGCCCTTCCGCAAATCCCACGGCTCCCGCACCGTGCGCCACTTCCTGCACTGCTTCATGGAAACGCAGATGTTCGCGGGCTTCATCCAGGACCGCGAGCTCAGCAAGAACCTGGGCAAAGGTAGCTGTGCCCTCATCTTTCTTGGCTTTGCTTCTTGTTTCGCAGCCTCCCTTTTGGAGTGTGACGCCGCCTGCCTCTGCTGTTGGAATTCTGTCACGTGGAGTAGCCCCTGTGCCCTTCGGTTTATAAAGCAAAGAATTTCTGCATCTCTCTCCTTTCTCCTTGATCCTGCGCTTACACACGCTACACACAGGATTTCCTTTCGTGGCCTTGTTAATCATGATGCTACATGCTAAAATATGGAGTGTAGTACTTTACCTATTAAATAGTTTTTTTCCCACTTCTCCCTAAAAAAACTGTCCCCAAACCAATTAAAAAAAACCTCAAACCTCCTTAAGTCTATTTCCAAAAAAACCCCATTCAAAAATTTTCTCCCTAAATTTACCCTAAACCAAACCTAATTTGGCGAGTGATTTTTAATTTTTAATTTTTTTTTCTCTTTAGGCCTTTTTGAGGTCCGTGCCATGGAGTATTTGGAGAGAATTCCAGAGACGGAAAGAACTGGAATGAACAAAATCCTTCGCAGTCTTGGTAAAGGAACACCCCTTGGTTTTGTTCATTGTTAAATTTTTTTTAATTAGTTGTAACAATTGCATAATTATTTTTTTACAAAGGAGGGAAAGGCTTCTTCTTTGCTTTCTGCACCTGTGTTCCCTTGTTTACATTTACTGCTTCAGGGGACACTGAACACTGTAAGATTTTCTTCTCTTTTTAAGCTTTTGTATCTTTAGATAAAGTTTGTGGGAGTTGCTGCTCTGAGGACCTGCCGAGGGGACAGAACTTGTGTCTGCTGGCAGAGGTGGCCATGTGTGGCTTTCCACCTTCAGTTCCTCAGCCTCTGAGTCCTGGAGTGTCTCCAGCTCACAGAATCCCACAATGATTTGGGTGGGAAGGGATCAGTTCTGCCATGGCCAGGGACACCTGCCACTGTCCCAGGCTGCTCCAAGCCCTGTCCAGCCTGGCCTGGGACACTTCCAGGGATCCAGGGACAGCCACAGCTTCTCTGGCACCCTGTGCCAGGGCCTGCCCACCCTCGCCTGAAGCTCCTAACGCTGTTTTTTCTCTGCAGGCAGTAAAATGAAATTCCTCCAGAAGAAGTGACCGAACGCTGCTGCGGGACAGCGGCGGGAGGGGAAAACGTCGGGCCCCGCCCGGGGCCGGACCGAGCTGTGCCCGGGAGGGCCGGGCCGGGCCGGGGGCTCCGCGTGTGCTGCGGTAACAACCAGCGGGGATCGATAGCAGCTCATGGATCGATAGCCAGTCCCATGGATTGATAACAGCTCATGGATTGATAACAGCTCACGGATCAATAACCAGTTCCATGGATCGATAACCAGTTCCGTGGATCAATAACAGCTCACGGATCAATAACCAGTTCCATGGATCGATAACCAGTTCCGTGGATCAATAACAACTCGTCGATCCAACTCTTCACGTGTCTCCGTTCCTTAAGGGGGCGTGGCCTCGGCGAGAGAGGCGGGGCCGGGCCGAGGGGGGGCGGGGCCAGGGCTGGAGTCGCTCCGGGAGTGACAGGACCGGGCAGAGAGGGGCAGGGCCAGGATCGGAATCGCCCCGGGAGCGGCGGGGCCGGAGCCAGAGTCAAACCGGGAGCGGCGGGGCCGGGGCTGAGGGGCGGGGCCTGGGCTGAGGGGCGGGGCTGGACAGGCCGCCAAGGGCGGGGTCTGTGCCCGAGAGGGGCGGGGTCTGTGCCCGAGAGGGGCGGGGTCTGTGCCCGGAGCCGTGTGCTGTCTCGCCGGGTGTGACGTCAGAGCGCACGCGCAGTGCGCGCCGCCGCGGCCAAGATGTCGGGCCCGGGGCTGGTGGCCGGGGACGTGGTGGTGGATGCGCTGCCCTACTTCGACCAGGGCTACGAGGCGCCGGGCGTGCGGGAGGCGGTGCGTGCGGGGCCGGGCCAGGGAGGGGCCGGGGCGGCGGGCGGGCTGCCCGTCTGACGCCCCGTGTGCGTTAGGCCGCGGCGCTGGTGGAGGAGGAGACGCGGCGGTACCGGCCGACCAAGAACTACCTCAGCTACCTGCCCGCGCACGACTACAGCGCCTTCGAGGTGAGCTGGGGCGGCCTGGCAGTCGCAGCCCCCAACCCAGGGCCTTTCCCGTACCCCATTGTCCCCACTCCGTGACCCGGCTGTGACAGACCCTGCCTGTCCCCGTCCTTCCCCGCACACCTCTCTCGTGTGTCCCCCTGCACCCCTCCTGTGTCTCCCCACCCTGCCCCGCTGTCTCTCCTCCGTTACCTGTTTGTGTCCTGTCCTTGTCCTCTCCCCATACTCTGCTGTGTCGCCCCCGGCTGTCCCTCACCGCTGCCTTTCCCGCAGACCGAGATCATGCGGAACGAGTTCGAGCGCCTGGCGGCCCGGCAGCCCCTGGAGCTGCTCAGCATGAAGAGGTGAGTGGGGCAGTGCCTGCCGCAGGTGAGCTGGGGCCCAGGGGAGCCGTGCCCCGGGTGAGCCATGCCCCATGCCCCAGGTGAGCCGTGCCCTTTGCAGGTACGAGCTGCCCGCCCCATCCTCCGGGCAGAAGAACGACATCACGGCGTGGCAGGAGTGTGTGAACAATTCCATGGCACAGCTGGAGCACCAGGCTGTGCGCATCGAGAACCTGGAGCTCATGTCCCAGCACGGCTGCAATGCCTGGAAGGTGTACAACGAGTAAGGCCTCAGCTGCTCTGCTGAGCACAAAGTTCTGTGTTGAATTTCTGTGTGTTTATTGTGTGTAAATCCAGTGGGGATCTTTAGAATGTAGCCTGGAATAGATGAACCCCTGTAAGAGAGCTGTGAGTGAAAGAGGAGGCTGATCTCAGAGCTGTCTCTGTGGCCAAGAAACAGCATATGTTTTAATACATCCCAGTGTTGAATGGTGTGGGTTATTGTTGATGATAGTGGGTGTTAATTAAGGCTAGTGATAGTCCGTGAAAGAATAATTCAGTAGTGGAAATTAAGATGAGTTACTACAAATCCTGGGCTTAGTCTGGATCTGTAATAAAGCTGCTGCAAAAGCCAAAAAAACGTTGTAGAATATGGCTGCAGGAAGCACTGGGGCTAATTCAAATAGAGAATGTTAATGAGAAGGGTTGATTGAGCCTTAGATAAAAGAATAGACCAAAGGAATGCCAAACATAGCTCAGAGAGAAGGCAGAGGGTTCCTGAGCTCAGGAGAAGGGAAGCAGGTAAAGGAGCTGCTGGCTAGGACAAGGTGTTTGAGTTGCAGGGGATTGTTCAGTCCTTAACTCTGACAAGTTAAATGTCAGGTGAAATGGGGCTGATTTAGCACTTGTGTGTTTTTAATGCTTTGTTTCCATTCATCAGACATCTGGTTCATATGATAGAACAAGCCCAGAAAGAGCTTCAGAAATTGAGGTGGGTCATTCTTATATTTTTGTACTGAAATTGGAAGTGAACCTCACTCTCCCCCCAAGCTATACAAAGGAAGATGTATGTGCTGGCTGCTGCCATGGTCACGGGGAAAAGCACCCAGTATAAACAATAATTAAGAAATATGACCCTGCCTTCCCCAAGCAGTTATATTTATCATGTCTGTTCTACTCAGAATTCTGTGTTTGGTTTGTTTGAACCTCTGCTCTAGATTTGTGGAATCCTCCCTGAAGTGTAGTAATGCTTTCTTTTCACTACTGATAATTTAATGTGCAGTTGTCTCTGTAAGGACATCTTCCCTGATGTTGGGTTTGACCTTTTATTTATCTCAGGGTTCTCTGCAAGCCCTGCACTGGGATTTGTCCATCTGGATGTTGTCATTACAGTCCTGGCTAAACAAATGTTTTCTGGCAGGACTTCTAGGGATTGAGTGTACTTGGAAATTAGCAACAGGTACTACAGATGCTAAAGAAATGAGGAAATAAAAATACATCTTGTTCTTCCCAGGAAAAACATTCAAGACCTGAACTGGCAGAGGAAGAACATGCAGCTCACAGCTGGGGCTAAGCTTCGAGAGATGGAATCCACGTGAGTATTGACATTTCTGTTAACCCTTCACAGGTTTCTCCATTGCTTGAAATTCACTGAAATTCAGTGATCCTTTGATGCTGCTGTAGGATACTGTTGCTTTGTAGAAAGTATTTTAAAGTACCTGTAGTTTGGTTCCATATTCTATTTACTGAGGTTGAGTGAATCAACAGATGGGAACAAGGTATATTTATTAGCTGCTTAATATTTCCTAAATTATTTTAAACTCTTCCTTATCTTAATATTGGCAGTTAATGGATGAGTCTAGTCATTAATTTTTTTGTATTTTCAGGTTTAACAGAGTTAAAAATTACTCATTGTCACTTTAGTTATTCAAATGGCCATTGATGTCAACTGAGGATTATCATGTGTTAAGAAAAATACTGCTTTATTTGGTGTTTCTGCTTGCTTTAGAGCAATGGTTGTCTTTGATTTTAAACTAGAGGACTGTTACATAACACTTAAAGGCTCTTTGTATTTCTTCTCCTTTCCAGGTGGGTCTCTCTTGTCAGTAAAAATTATGAGATTGAACGAACTATTGTTCAGCTGGAAAACGAAATTTCACAAATCAAGCAGCAGCATGGGGAAGCAAACAAGGAGAATATCCAGCAAGACTTTCAGTGATTTAATCCTGACTTCTCTTAGTGCAGCGTGTGTTAAAAACTACAGACCAGACACTTTGGAGATGCTGTGTCTGTAGACACCTCTAGTTGCAGTTGTGTGAGGTGGTAAAAGGGTTTTTCTTTTCCTTGTTTTAAATTCTAGGAGGAGGTAGGGTGGACTCAAAACATCCTATTTAAATCACCATTACATATACTGTGAATTGTTTCACATTTTGTATACTTTAAGCACGAGCTGGTGTTGTTGTGTTTTCCCCTATGCCTTTAATAAATCCTGTTTTGCTATTTATCTGGTTTGTGCTTCATGTCCAAGGCCCAGGAGCTGTGGAGAAGGTGGCTGGGCCAAATGGAGCCCCAGAATCCTCTGCAGGGCCAGTGGGGGGAAACTGGAATTTGGGGTGAGAGGGTCTCTGCAGCACTGGGGCTGTGCAGTGCCCACAGAGGGGGCTCAGCTGCCCCCTCCTGCACTGTTCCTCATCCCAGGGCATTATTCCTGATCCTCCTCCCCCTGGCCTGTTCCCTGTTCCCACCCCAATGCACTGCTCCATGTCCTGGTGCCCTTTTCCCTATACTGCTGTTCCATTTCCCATCCTGCTGCTCTGTTCCCCATCTCAGTGTGTTGTGGTTTCCAATCCAGCTCTGCTATTTCCTCTCCTGGTGCCCTGTTCTCCATCCTGGTCCATTATCCCCACCCCAGTGCTTTGTTCCCCATTCCCATAGGTTGTTCCCTATCCTGGTGCATTATTTCCCGTATTCATGGGTTATTCCCCGGCCCAGTGCGTTATTCCCCATCCCAATAGGGATATTCCGATGGATAGTTCCCGTATTCATGGGGTATTCCCCATCCCAATGGGTATTCCCCGTCTTCATGCGTTATTCCCCTTCCCCAGGGGTTATTTCCCAGCCTGTGCGTGTCATTTCCCGTCCAGAAGGGTTATTCCCCCTCCGGATGGGGTATTCCCCAGCCCAGTGCGTTATTCCCCCTTCCGCTGGGGTATTCCCCATACCGGATACGTTATTCCCCGTTCCCATTGCGCTGTTCCCCATTCCCGGTGCTCTATTCCCCATCCCCGGTTCCCCATCCCCGGTTCCCGTTCCCGGGGGGCGTGGCCATGCCTCGGCCGCCCCCGCCCATTGGCTGGGAGCCGCCAGCACCGCCCAATAGACTGTCACCGCAGGGCCCAGTGACAGCCCAGAGCCCCGCCTTCCAGTGACGTCACGACCCGC